TACATGAAGAGGGGTGTGCATCAGGGAGAGGACCAACCAGCTTGGCCTTCCTAACCCATGGGTAAAATTTTTAAACCAAGCTAGTGCATTGTCATCCTCCATTGCAAGGCTTGTCACGCACTCTTGCATCCACCCACTCCCTCACTCACTCATTCTTATGTTTTTTAAAAATCTGGTCTCCACAAGGCACTGTGAGTTAGAGGTCTCCTCTTAGGAGTAGGGGCACGATCAGCACCTCCTTTCTTCCTTCTTTCTTTGTCTGGCCCTAGGACTAATCCTACCTCACCTGTGCCCTCTTTGCATCCTTGAATTAGGCTGTTGTTTTCTGCCGATGGTCCCTGCCACTCAAATCATCACTCCTGTTGACCTGGGTCAGCATTTCTTATGTGGCTGCTTGCTGAAAACATGCTGGGGGTCTCGGGCCATGCCCCAGATCAACTACATCAGAATCTTGGGGCATGAGACATCAGGGTTCCTCTTTTTAGTACTTCTTAGGTAATTCCAATGTGTAGTCAAGGCTGAGAACCACTGGTCTAGGTAATGGTTGGTTGGTAATCTTTGAAACGTATTTGTTGAGAGGTCACTGTTGTTCTAACTCTGTGAGAGTGTGTTGTTTTTTTAGGGGGTGGGTGGGTGCTGCATGTCACATGTCACTCCCTGCACAAAGACCACAAGCCATTCTTTTCCTAGCCTGACAGGTCTGGTCTTCACAACAGCCTCTTCTCCTGCCCGCTTCCAAAGTCATGCTCAGCACCCCCACCCCAGAGCGGCATCCTTGTCCTTGACACTCAACTGCACACAGGCATACCCCAGGGATAAATTCCACAGTATAATTAAAAACATGTTTTCTCAGCAGCTCAGACTCCCCCACCCTGCCCTTTACACATGTCTATAACTTTAAGCCCAGCCAAGGCTCAGAAGGGCTGGTGGAAAATTCTTTTTTCCCAAACTGATTTTTCCTTCTTTCTCTCTTTTCTTTTCTCTTCTCTTCTTTCTTTCTCTCTCATTCTTTCTTTCTCTTTCTACCTTCCTTTCTCTTTCTTTTCTTTTTTCTCTCTCTCTTTCTTTCTTTTTCGTCTTTCCTTTCTTCCCTTTCTCTCTCTCTCTCTCTTTCTCTCTCCCCTCTCACCTCCACTCCTTTCTTTACCATTCAGTTGACATGGGGAGGAGGGGTTTCTGGCAAAGGCACAGTTGTGCTTGTTGTTTTAAAACTAAGCCTGTTAAATTTTCTTCCTTCCTGCTCTGTTTTCAATTTAACAGAAGGCAGCCAAGGCCTAAAATTAGCCCTGTGATTCTTCCTTCTGCACTGAGAACCAGGACAGAATTCTTAGTTTGGACAAACATGACCCAGATCCTGGGTACACTGGAGTAGGTGCCCAGCCTCTCTGTACCTGCCACATTCTCAGCCTGATGCTGGGCCCAGGACAAAGGCCACAGCTGTCCCAGGTGCTTGCGGGTGTGGGGTTCAAAAAATGATTGGCACCCCAGTTTTATGAGTCCTCAGGCCTTCCCCAGATATCCATCCTAACCCAGAAGCTGGGATGAAGGAATGATACCAAGAGACCTGCCTAGTGACCTTCATAAGCCCTCCCTGAAGCAGTGCCTGGTCCACAGCCAACACGGGCAGATGTGTATTTGTCACGTGCAGTGGAGAGAGCTCTCATCATTGGGAATGCTTGTTACCAGGATGAACTCCTTAGGAAGGCTTCTCCCACCCTCTCCAACCCTGGTGCCTCCTCTGAGCTCCCAGACCTCCTCCTCACCTCTCACCCATGCTTCCTTCTACTCCACAGTCCCCATGTTGTGCTGCATGGTAATTATACGTGGGAGCTGCTCCTGTCTGGCTCTAAACTCTATGAAGGCGATGGCTGTGTCTAGCTCACCTTGGTATAGGGCAAACATACATCCCAATTTGCCAGGGCCGGTGGTAGTTTACATTTATTGTCCCAGTGAAGTTATTAATAGTGCTCCCCTTTACTTTCAAAACTGCTCTGATTGGATGAGAAATTATATGACGACTCTATCTTAGTGATATCAGTGACCAGACTATTGGATAGGTCTTGATCCATGGAAGCAGTGTGGTGTCACGGCCATGCCCGCCTATCCTGGGTCACACAGCATGGATGCGAATCCCAGGCCCAACCCCACCACTTACTAATCCTTCTCTGGAGCCTCAGTGACCTCATCAGTACTGTGGGGATCATCGAGAGGCCTCTCTTGTGGAACTGCTGGGAGGGTTCAGGGAGGAGATGCACGTAGTACAGTGCCAGACACTTAGTAACACTTGACAAATGTTAACAGAGGAATGAGAAAGAAGAGGGAGGAAAGCAGAAGCTGAAGATTTTCATCGTATGCCCTTAGGGATTGGGAGCTGAGGAATGAGGAAATTTGGTATCTGTTTTTACTCTTGCTCTGCCTGCAGGAGTAAACATCTAAAAGCATGGAGGTTTGAGGAAAAACCTGGGATCTGAATTATGGGCTGGGTGGTCATACTTTTCTTAGAGAGACCAGCTTCTAGAAGTAGAAATTTCCAGAAGAACCAAAAGCTTAAGAAGGAGCCACAGATGCCTCAGAGCTAGAGAGTCTGCAGGGGGTGCCTCCATCTTACCCAGACATCCTGGAAGCTCCTGGAATGTGGTTGCAGGTGGGGATCCATCGGGAGGTATGCCAGACAGAAATCTGAATTTCCAGGCCATCAGGACGGCATCCAGTGAACACCAGCCCAGCTCAGGCCCAGCCCCAGGAGGTGCCCCGACCAAGGCCCTTAGCCTGAGTGGCTGCATCTCCCTGGGAGCACACTGTGGCAAAGGCAGAATCCCTGAGCCGGACTCACCAAGGCACACCAGGGAAAGGTCATATTGAAAGGGAGGACGCCAGAGCATTCTGAAAACAGTTATTCTCTGTCACAGTGACATGAGCACCACAGGAATAGAATAATTTTAGGCCAGCAGCTACGGTCCTCAGTTATCATGCAAGCCCCTTTGAAGGTCACCAAGAGCACAGGGAGAGTAAAATGAACTAAGAATTGTCATTTCTTATGGGAAAGAGAGAGCAATAAAATACTGGATTTTCCTCCACAATCCATAGACTCCAAGCCTCCTGTAGACAGGGGCTGGGAGGTCTTGTTGCTACTATATACCCACAAACCTAGCACAGTGCCTGGAGGTTATTTGTTGATAGAAGGAAGGAATTAATACATGAATACATTTAATCATGAGTCTTTTTCAAGTTTTGTCAGGATTTTCAGGAAAGGAAGCTCCTAGAAAAAAGGACACAGTTTCTGACTCCTCTTAATACTTGGCCCCTGAAGACAACAGATAACTTCAGCACCAGCGCTGACAGAGAAAAGCGGCCTGAGGACAGTGGTGCTCCCTGGACAAGCCAGGTCTAACCTCCCCCCGCAGCCTCCCTGCATCCTGGGCCAACCACACACAAGTTTTGAAGCCACCCTTGAGCAGGGCTGAAGCATATCCCGTGCTGCTCCCTTTTATGCCGGTTATTAAGCTGTTGTCCCTCAGCTCCACATGCACCAGCCTGCCAGGGCTTTCTCCCCAGGGGTCTGGGCCTGAGGTCAGGCTCAGAGACCCAGCAGCAGCCTCGATGCACCCCTTCCTTCCAAGTCCTAATGTCAGCTCCACAGGCCTCTCATCTATGTTTCCAAGTCTTGATCATTCCTCTCCCTTCCCTTGGTTCTCTCAGCCCTAGGGATAGGAGCTGTGTCCGGCAATTGCTACCTCCATGATACCTTAGCATTTTCTTTTACCCTCTCAGTTACCAGCTCTGTACTTAGCTAACACCTTTTCATACTAAACTCTAAGGAGACCCTCACTGAGACACTTATTCATAGGCCTTCACCAGTTCCACCAGTTGGCACCATCATCTACATAAACTTACTCTGAACTGAGCTTTGGAGCAAATACTGTTCTCTTCTCCCCTCCCTTTCCTTCCGAGCTCTCTAGTGGCTTGCAGCTCCCATCATCCTGATCTCAGCCTTACTCTGCCTCCACCCTTTATCCCCTCCTTCCTCTTTCAGCTCCTTTAGTCATTGGCATTTGCATGACTCTGCAAGGCTGTAGCAAAGTGCATTCTTTCCTTACAGTTCTATGGTCATTCCTTGTCCCTTTCTGGAAAAAGTGAACAAGGCCAGTTGGCATTTACATGTACAGCCTTGGTGTTCTCTGATCTTCAGTACCTCTTGCCTGCACTTCCCATGGAATATTCTGTCTATGCTACTTTATTTTGCTCTTGGTCTCAAAACATAGTTTGGGTTTTTCCAGCCAACACAGAAGCCAGTCCAGGGTGGAATGTGTGTCGTGCTTTTAGGTCTCCAGTCTAACCCAGCCTGGTGTCTGCTCATTGAAAGAGTTCCGGAAATGTGCGTGATGGTTAATAATGTACTGCATCTCACAGAATCTGGGACGCAGTCAATTGTAAGATGCACCGTTATTTTTCTGCACCACTAAGAAAGAAAAAATAAGTGTCCAGTTAAACTGTGACTTGATCGTGAGCTGCATCCCAGTTTCAGAAATGTTAATGTGAAAAACCAATGTGCCTCAGAGAATCAGTGAAATAAAGCCTCACTAAGCTGGGAAGCTATTTGAGGGGGTTCTTGTTTGCCTTTGGCCTGCTCTTCAGGGCATAGGGTTATTCCCACTGTCCAATGTGGACACCTAGAGTGAGGTAGACTGGACCAGCAGGTGTAAAATGGGATGGGGGAGGGGCGGGAAGGCAGTAAATTGACAGACAGGATGGGCAAAAGATTTTCATGTGGCTGAGGACAGAGAAGCACGTCTTCCTGGGAAAAGCATTGTCAGAGGGGCCCACAGAGTGGCCATCCAGATGAACACTGCTTTGGTGCTAAACCACAACAAACCCACTGAGTGCCCACAACCCCCCCACCTTGCCCCATCACCCCACCCCACACTTTCAACCTGTTTATTTGCTCCACACCTCATTTTTAAACTACAGACAGTAACTGTTACCTTTTGCCTTTTCCTCAGGGTCCAGTTCTTCCAGAGCAAAAGCTGTATCTGTTTCACGAAGCCCATGCTAATGACCACACGAAGACCAGATTGATCAGAGCTGAGGGCCCCCAGACAGCAAAGGACGTAAATGCTGCTAAGAGTTTCCCGGCTCCAGCCGCTGTGTCCTTCTCCTGGTGATTAAAGGCTACTTTTCCCCTTCAAAGCATAATCCCTTCTAATTACACATAAACCCTTTGTTGGGGAGAGGAGGCCGACACTGTGTTGGTTCCTTTTTAGGGAGAGAAAGAGAACCCTAAAGACACAAGTGGCTGGGTACCAGGGAAATTGAGGTGGGGGATACAATGAGAAACCAAGACCCTCAGGCACCCTCCTCCTTGAGAGGAGTTCCTGGGGTTGCTGAGGGGGATGTCTTTGGACATCTCCTTAAGTTTGGAACAAAATCTCTTTGCATAAATATAGGCTTGGCATTTGTCCTCCTCAGGAGCCTGCCATGAGCCAGTAGCCAGGGTTTGACTGCCCCTTTAAGTCAAATCAACTCACTTGGCAGATATGAAGTGATCCCTCCTTCTTTTAGTCTTTATCTTGCTCTGTAGTGACTTCAGGCCAGCTATTTGGGTTGTTTCTGAGCTTAGTGGAGGGTGATGATGTTTATCTCTTGTGCTAAAATTGATGGGCTAGTAGTGGCTACCTGGGGCTGTAATGGAAAAGGCAGGGGAACACTCCAGGCTCAGCAGGACGGAACCGTGATTGACTTGCAATGTATGACAGGGGTGTGGGCATGAGGAGAGGCAGCAAGTGGGCCAGTGACTGTCATTCCAGCCCTGCAGTGGGGTGGTGCTGGATTGACTCATCACCAGGTGAGGGATCTGTGATCCCAAGGAACACCCCAAACAGAAGCCTCCCTGGTACTGCGCCATGGAACTTTTTGTCTCTGCCTCCTCAAATCTCAGAACTTTGTTCTCTTTGAAAGACTCTAGACCCCGAGACCTCGATAGTGATGGAGGGAGAACCACAGAGAAGAATGGATGCTGACTTCATGGAGTTCATGGTCTGGTTGTAAACATGGGACTTGAACTCAAATCACTCAAGGAGTATGATGAGGGCCCACAGGCTATGCATGGTGGGCTTCCAAGGAGAGAGAGATGGTTTCTGCTTACGATGGCAAAAGGACTCCTTGGAGGTGTGGCATTTAAGACAAGCTTGCAGAATTACAAAATAACATTTTATAGTAAGTTTATGATATCTAAACTGCTTTTGCATGTTATTTCATTTCAGCCTCACTACAATTTTGTGAGGTCCATATTTGCTCGGTTTTACAGATGAGGAACATGAAGCCTAGTGAGATTAAGTACTTTGCTCAGGGTCCCATGTGACAACGGTGGGTTCTTGAACAAGGGAATCATTTAAACTCTGCAAAGACAGGGAGGAATAGCTTATCTTGCCCAGGAAAACCACAAGTGAAGCATGGCTGGAGTGAAGGCTAGGAATGGAGGATGCTGGAAAAGGAGACAGGGGCCAGACTGAGAAATTGATGATGATGATGACTGATTCAACTAAGATCTACTGAGCGCCTGCAAAGTGACTGGAATGGCCCACAAGTGCAGGCCAACCCCAAGCAGGCTCTGGCAGAATCATTAAGACCTTGTTGCATGCTAAAGAGTATGGGTTTTATCATGTAGAAGGTGATGAAAGATTTTAATCCAGGACTGCCAAGAGTAGTCAGTTCACCCTGGCAGCAATGTGGGGGTGGTTTAGGGGGAGGCAGAGAGCCTGAGCAATGCAGTGACAGCCTTGTTGGAGAGAAAGGAGGGACTGGAGAGATAGGAAGGAAGGAGACAGCAGTGCTGGGTGACTTACTGGAAGAGGGTGGTGAGGAAGAGGGAGAAGTCAGCTAGATGGAATTTAGCTCAGCTGGCTAGTGAGATGGTAGTGCTCATAACTGAGATGGGAATGCCAGAGGAAGGCAGTGGGGAGCAGGAGGCAGTGATATATTGAAGCTGAAGTTCCTATGACATCTGACTGCACATATTCAGCAGGCAGTTGAATACTTGGGTCTGGAGTCAAGAATAAGCTTGTGAGATGGAGACATAGCTCTGTGCGTCGTCAGCATATAGGTGGAAGATTAAGTTCTGGGGGTGATTAAACAGGTGACCCAGGAAAGATAAGCTTGGAGAGTATATGAGGTTGCTGAAGGGGAGCTACAGCTGGTGAAGGAATATGCCTCCTTCCAATTCCCAAAGACATCCGCTATGTAAATAATGTTCTGTCATAGTTTTTAAATAGTCCATGCTTCATTAAGCTAAAAGGGAGAAAGTTAAACTATGAGCACTTCATTAATATTCATTTGATGATGCTCTAACAATGTTATTCCCAACTAACCATTGTTCTTGTCTGAACAAATCTGTTTGTTGAGATTGACACATACATGACATACAATTTATCATTTGAACCATTTTAAATATACAATTGAGTAGTGGTTTTTTATTTTTATTTTTATTTTTTAGAGATGGGGTTTCACCATGTTGGCCAGGCTAGTCTCGAACTCCTGACCTCAGGTGATCTGCCCACCTGGGCCTCCCAAAGTGCTGGGATTCCAGGCTTGAGCCACCACGCCCAGCCTTGAGTAGTGTTAATACATTCATATTGTTATGCAGCCATCAGCACCATGCATCTTCAGAACTTTCATTTTGCAAAACTGAAACTCTGTACCCATTAAACACTAACTCCCCAGTGCTCCCTCTCCCTAGCCCCCTGCCAACCACTCTGTTTTCTGTCTCAATGAATTTGATTACTCTATGTACCTCATCTAAGTGGAATCATATAGAAAAGCATAATCTTTAAAATTCATCTATGTTGTTGTAAGCCATCTTTCAACAACATAGATGAATTTTAAAGATTACAAAATATCATAAACTAGGTGGCTTATAAACAACAGAAATTTATTTCGCACAGCTTTTGAGGCTGGAACCAGGTCCAAGATCAAGGTGCCAGTAGATTCGGTGTCTGGCAAGGGCCTATTTCCTGACATGTGTGTGGTACCTTCTTGCTGTGACCTCATCCAGTGGCAGGGAAAAGGGGTCTCTCTTGGGCTTCATTTTATAAGGGTACTAACCCCATTCATGAGGGTCTTACCCTCATGACCTAATCACCTCCCCAGAGCCTCACCTCCTAATACCATTACCTTGGGGGTTAGGATTTCAATTTATGAATTTTGGAGGAACAGATACATTTAGACCATAGCAGATGTATCAGAATTTCTTTCCTTTTTAAGACCAATTAATATTCTATTGTCTGTATCGACCACATTTTGTTTATCCATTCATCCATCCAGGGTCATTTGGGTTGTTTCCACCTTTCACCTATTGTGAGTAATGCTGCTGAGTCTGCTTTCAGTTATTTGGGGTGTATACCCACGAGTGAAATTGCTGGATCGAATAGTGTTTCTGCTTACTTTTGGAAGAACTACCGTACTATTTCCCTTAGCAGCTGCACTGTTGTACATGCCAATCAGCAGTGCCTTATGATTCCAACTTCTCCACATCCTGGCCAACACTCGTTTTGCTCTGTTTTTCTTCTTATCATAGCCATCCTAATGGGTGGGAGATGGTATTTCACTGTGGTTTTTATTTGCATTTCCCTAATGATTGATATTAAGGACATTTAACTCTTTTTTTACTCTTTAATTTTATAGATATTGCATATAATTTTTCTCCCAAGGTAACTCCAGTTGTTTTAAAATTATGTCAGACTAAAAGCTCTGTTCAGTTATGTCATATATTTCTGAGAATATACCTAGTGAGTCAAGAATGATACTGATGATAACTGCACATTTCGTTTTCATAGTTATCACCATTAACTCAAATTGATGGGGGTAAATCTGAAATTGATAGAGTCCTGGCAGCAGTTTTGAGCTAGGACTCGGCACATGCATTGAGAGTTGTGATGTTAATCCATAGACCATATCAATTCACATTTATGTTCAGAACTATAAAGAAGTCAAGAAAATGGTGAAGTTTTAGAGATCTTCTTGCTCCTATTCCTGAGGGTTGAACCAGAAAGAGGCATTCTATTACTTATATCGGTTATTCTGCCAACAAAAATTCAGTAATGGAGAGAAATAATTTATAATTTATGAAGTTTCTATTCGGAAAAAAAAAGCCAGGCGCAGTGGCTCACGCCTGCGATCCCAGCACTTTGGGAGGCTGAGGCAGGCATATCACAAGGTCAGGAGTTCGAGACCAGCCTGGCAACATGGTGAAACACCATCTCTACTAAAAATACAGAAATTAGCTGGGCATGGTGGCAGGCACTTGTAATCCCAGCTACTCGGGAGGCTGAGGCCAGAGAATTGCTCGAACCTGGGAGGCGGAGGTTGCAGTGAGCTGAGACCATGCCATTGCACTCCAGCCTGGGTGACAGAGCAAGACTCCATCTCAAAAAAGAAAATACCTTTGGAAAAATATATAGACAAAATTAGTTTGAACTTGCTGTAATTTTGGAGTGGAGATAAATTTGATAATAAAGCCAATCCCAAAAGATCACCATCAATTCACTTGCAGCAAGCTGAAGAAAATAAAATGTCCTCAATACATCATTAGACATATATTTCTTTGAAACAGTGATTGTAGGTGGAATGAGAAAACATTATGAATCTATGTTACGAGCATAAAGGCAGTTTTGGGACATCATAATGTAAAATGAAAAATATCTGATTTTTAAATTTGAATTTCTTTCTAGCAAACTCAAAACTAAATCATTGTGCAATTAACACTTGAAACTCCAATCATGAATAACGTAAGTATTTCCTCAGCTTATGCAATAATATTTAATGAGATGGGTCACTAGGTTCAGTTAGTGTTACATAGGGGCCTAAGCAAAGACTGGGGACTGGATCTCACTTGTTTTTGCTAAACAAGCCTGGGACCCTGATATAGGGCTGCATATTAGAAAAGGAGGTACCTTTTTCATTTCACAAAGGTATCTTCTGCTCATCAAACTATGCAACCATGAGAGGCTTCATCCACCCAGAGGAACACATTTTCTAATTTGCATAAAAGTGCCACACAGGCTAGCAGAGGACCTGAGGCTGTGTTCCCCACCAGTAGGAGAAATCTGATCTGCAGTAACAGAGAATAAAGGGAATACACGGAGAGTTAGAGAGCATGGGTCCCAACTGTAGCTAAGTCCCTGGTTCCAGCTGTCCTTGGGACACAGTTGTTCCTCTCCTTTTCAGGCAGGTTAGCTGTAAGACACTGATCCTTTCAATAAAACCTGCTTTTCCCTAAATTAATTGAAATTTGGCTTCCATAATTTTTACCAAAAGATTCCTGACTAATGTGAGTTATCTTAATCAAGGAGAGGATATGACCTGGACCAACCCACATGGGGGAAAAAATTATTTGCAGCCTATTGGGATGTATCTGAATAAAATTCCCAAGTAGGTCCGTGATTGCAATAATAATGTAAGTATTATAAATACTAACACAATCCAATGGAGTTGCAGCAAAATTTCAAGGAGAGGAGATATCCTGTCATGAGTATTTAGAAATTAAGAAAGTAAAAGAACTCCAAAATACCCAATATTAGCAATTCCCACATCTATTAAGAAAAGGCTCACAAGTTTTCAAAACTTGCTAAGCAGTGTCAAGACAAGTAGGAAGATGTGTGGCAAGTTCAAAATACGTCAACCAATGCACATTACTAGCTGGAACGGAAGTGCTTTCCTAGATTATCAAAACATTAAAATGATATTAGCTGATTCTCCAAATCTTTTTATGGCCAATGAATCAAGTGAAATATTTGTTTCCAGTTTTGAATCAACCTTTTGTTTAAAATTTATTTATCATTCACTCAGCATTACCAGAATTCTTTCTAAAGAGCCTCAAAGTGAAACTAAAAATATTTTGCCTTTGTTTTCAGAAGTAGAAGCAATATTACATAGTTTACCATCAGAGAGAAATGATGGATATTTCAAAACCATTTGGAACAGAGAAGAGGAATTTTTCCAGAAAAAATCCCCTATTTAAAAATATCTTTGGAAAATAAAAAACTTAAAATCATAAGGTTTGGGATAAGGCATTTCCCCCTACCTCCTCAAAACAGAATAAAATTAATATCTATTTCTATAGCTTACTAACTCTATCAGTAAATTTAAATTTATATTTTTTTCTGATAATTATACCAAATGAAAATAATTTCTGAATTACTGAATAACAAAATACTTTAAAAAAGCTTTACAAGCTTGATGCAAATATAGTTCCAGAACTTTACTTTTACCTAAAGTGCCTACAGCTCAATTTTACTTATTAATCAATCCTGACTGCTCTCTTACTTGACATGGTCTTATTAGCAAGCCATGGAGCTTGCAGCTCTTGCATATTGCTTTGATTTGGCTGGTCACTGTAGCAAGAATGGCATGCCCAATTTTATACTTTTCATTGCTAGGAAAATTTACACAGTAAAAGAGGTCCCCTCATCACTAATTATTGTGGAACAGAAATTAATGACCAAACTAATAGAACTAAAGGACTCGGTGATATTATAGAATCATTGGGCCCATCAGCTGAGAAATAAATTTTATTTTGCTAATTGAATTTCCCCTATAAAAATTTTGCACATCAGCTGGTACTAATTTTACTTTGCCTGTAATAATTTTGAACTTCAGATTCTTGTTACTATTGGATTAACATGTAGATATTGAAATTTAGCTTATGAAAATAGTACTATTTGAGAAAACAATACTCGCTTGAACATTTTCATGAGCTTTTCTTGGGAATGAGAAGAGACTTACTGCTTTTATGTCTAAGCAATCTTCGCCCATCAACTCCTCCAGATATTCCAGAGTTCCTCCAAATATTCCAGGAGTCTATGTAGGGGGAAAGGTCTCAGATGGAAATCTAGGGAATTGATTGTTTAAAAGGCAGTACACAAGTGTTTATCACAACATCCCTTCTAATAGCAAAACCTGGAAATACTTGTCACAGAAGAATGGATAAATGAATTATGGTAGATTCTCTCACCCAAATCTCTCACAGCAGTGAGCATGAATAAACTACATATACAAAAATATAAATAATTCTCTCATACATAATGCTGAGCAAAAGAAGCCTGGAGAGCACTCAGCCTACGTTTACAAAGTTCAAGCATAGGCGAAACTCATCTCTAATGCTTGAAGTCAGGATGGCAGTACTCTTCGGGGGGCCTGGTGGCTGGAACAGGCACAAGGGCATTTCTGAGGGTGCTGGAAACACATCATCTTTTGATCTGAGTGCTAGTTGCAGGGAGTGTTCTGTTTGTGAAAATGATCAACCTGTGAACTTACGATTTGTGCACTTCTCTGTATGTATACTTCAATCGTAGTCTGTTTTTTTTTAAGCAGGTGAAGGAATAGAACCCAGTGAGGGAGACTGAGGTGGATGAGCTACAGATGATGGAGAAAGGTCTGGAAAGAGGGGTGCCCTGGGATCCACAGAAAGAGAATGTTTCAGAAGGAAGAATCAGTCTGCCGTACTAAATGGCTTGAGAAAGTCCTAGAAGGATAAAAACTAAAAGTTGCACATTGGATTTGACAACTGACCTCTGAGAGAATGGTTTTAATGGAAGGCAGAAACCAGAGAGCAGAGGGTCGAAGAGCAAGACCTGGAGATGGGAGCTACTCTTTCCAGTGGCCAGACTGTGAAGGGAAGAGTGATGCTCACAGCAACGGGAAGGAATGAGAACACTGGGTCGGGGAGGTCTTCCCCCTGAAGACAGGAGAGATTGGACTATGTTAATGTGTGGGAGACAGATGGTTGAAAGAGAGTTGCTAAAGTTACTGGGGGATGATTGATGGGAAGTGGAGGAGGTGGAATTGTCCCTGGGCATGGGAAGGGACAACTTGTATTCCATGGACACTGTGGGGAAGGAGACAAGGAAGTACAAGTCTGATTCACTGAGGTAATGGAGGCTGAGAGTTGAGGGCGCTCATCCTCGAGACTTCCCACTTAAATGTGCATAGGAGGTCAATAGGGGATTAAGTGAGATAGTGAGAAAGCTTATGTGCAGATTCATTGCCTCATCTTTCCTTTGCCCTCCTTTGATCATTTTTAAAGCAAAGTGCAGTTTAGTCAGTCATCTACAATAGAAGAATAACTTATAGACTGCATGTAGAGATCTTAAGGGGACAAATAATTCATAGACAACTCCCTCTCCCTCCCCATCCAGACACATTCACCATTATATTCATTTAATTCATTGGCAAATGACAGGTAGAGTATTGGTATTCAGCTCAGCTTGACAGTTTAACCCAATAATTAGCACCAACAACAATGCTTTCTGGAAATGTTTTCCCAGGTACGGTTTCTTCTGGCCCAGGAGAGCTGAATCCATTCAGAGGTGTCCTGGTCCCAGGAAAAGCAAGGTCGAGTTTGGGTCCTGCAGTGGAACCAATTTTGTTCTCAATCTTCAGCTGCTTTGGGGCTTCTTCTGGCACCCCAAGCTCTATCAAAGGCAGATCTATTTGGGGTGACTACACATATGGAAACTAAAGATTGGGGAATGTATTCATATAAACAACATTGGCCAGGCACCTTTGGGAAGCCTTCATGGACTCCACAGAGGCATGGGGGGTAGGGTGGAGTCCATGCACCCCAGTGTGATGGGCTCTGCTTTAGCAGAATAAAGCTAAATCAAGTTGTTACCAAAAATGACAGGCAGGTTGTTATTCCAGGCATATCTTATACACTCACTTTCAGAGCTGTTTAGAGTTTTGCTGATTTGACACCCAGAAAACCCACAGGAGTCCAGAGATTTTACATTTTCTGGGCATTAAGTGCAAAGTACTTGCCAGATAACAGAGTTTTAGTGGGATGCCAAGGAGTGTTGCATAGCAGACCATGAGTCTGGGCTGTTATCACATGAGCCGCAGTGAATTGCTGGCTGAGTACAGAGTATGGTAACACCTGAGAAGCTTCATTCTCAGGGCCAGATCTGTCACTCTGAATCTTAGGGCATCCTAAGCTTGGCTGCAGTTGTGTATGTATCAAAACAGATATTCCAAAAGGTTCCAGCCAGAAGCAAGCAACACAACCCAGTGACAAACTTAAAAAACAGAGGTAAAGAGATGTTCTAGTGCCAATAATAATTTTTTAGAACTAGGGACCCAAATTAATTCAGCACAAGTTCTTCATGGTGATGCATTTACTATTACTAAAATGAATGAGAGTAACTTGAGTGTCTGTATGAAAGTGTGTCTGTCCTTACACTGCCTTCCTTTGAAGGAAGACTTGGCCCCAGCCCACAGGAATCTGTGATCAGGAGGCTGGAAAGTGAGATCTCCACAGACCTAGAACTTGCATGTGCCTGAATAACTGTCAACAACAGGTACAGAGCTTGCCTCCCGGTATGATCTTGGAATGAAGAAATGATCAAGAGGAGCACTTTTCCAATGTATCCACTAAATGGTAAAACCACACAATGACTGAAAATGACGTCGGTTCTTCAGTTAGCATTTGACCTGGAGCATGGGGAAAATAGAAGGAAAATGGAAACTACTTAGGCAGCATTTTATCAGGAGGTGGAAGCAGCGTGGGAAAATATTTCACATGGTTCCTGCCTACTCAGCCTGACAAAGAAAGCTGTGGTTTGTTGTCAGATTCCTTCAACTAAATGTGTCAAAGGGAGAGAAACCTCTCTTGAGTGAGAGACCGCTCTCTCCAAACAGCTGCACATTGCCTCCCTCCTCTGTGGCTCACACCATCCCCAGCCCTCTCTCCTCTCTTCACACTTGGAGCTGGAAAGTGGAATGGAGAAGAGGTCCTTATCCTTAGCTCTCTCCTGTGTGTCAGCCTTCATTCTTGCCATGGACTCGTTTCTGGCTCCACCCCAGCAGGATGCTACATGGTCATCTTAACAATAACAAGGATAGCCATAGAAGCAATGGGGCCTGAGTGGACCCCAGCAATCATCCCAGGAGCCCCAGTAAATGGTGTGCAAGTGGTTTCTGTCCCTGCACGTGAAGCAAAAACTTTGATCCTCTTCATTCTTTTATGAAAGTGATTATTTTGAAAGTGCTGATCCTCAATATCACTTCACTGATAAAGATTTGAGTGTGAGTATCATGAGTATGTTGTGGAATACCACCGTCTTTGGAACCAGACAAAACTAGGTTCAGATCTCATATTTTCCACTTAGCTATGTGACCTTAGAGAGGTTTAAAAGTCTGGATGCTGCTATTAAAATGATGGGAGAAAATGTCTGCACTAAACCAGGAGCACCTCAAGTAAATATACAAAGGGCCTTCTTTCTTAATCAGTGATGCATCTTTCTTTTTCTCTGACTGCAGCTTAAGGTGCTAGATTAGATTCAGAGAAAGTGTGGACATGGTCATAGAAGTTCCATAATATATAAGGCTACATTGCTTTTCTAGAGGTCATGTCAAGTCAACACTGGTTTCTCAACAATGCCTGGAGAGACTGTCTTAAGTGAAAGCCCTGTCATCAAACACAAAACAAACCTTTCTGTTAAATGGTTATCACTAGCTTTCAACCTTTAGCAGCCGCCGTTGCAGCTAGGGAATGGCAGATACTTGGGCCTGGGCTGAGAGTCTAATCCCAGCAAGGCTGTTAGAAACCTTTTCCAGAGCACTTCGGCTTTCTCTCTGAAAGATGCTGCATCAAGACTTTTCAGAAATTCTCTTTTCAGAGTAGAGACTTGTGCCCTGTATAGAAGAGGCAGTCATGGTTTGGATCCTGTAAGTAATACAGGATGAAAAACTATTTATTTTTTTTTAGACAGAGTCTTACTCTGTCACCCAGGAATGGAGTGCAGTGGCGCGATCTCAGCTCACTGCAACCTCTGCCACCCTGGTTCAAGCAATTCTCTTGCCTCAGCCTCCTGAGTAGCTGGGATTACAAGTGCCTGCCACCATGTCTGGCTGATTTTTGCAGTTTTAGTAGAGATGAGGTTTCACTATCTTGGCCAGGCTGGTCTTGAACTCCTGACCTCGTGATTCACCCGACTTGGCCTCCGAAAGTCCTGGGATTACAGGTGTGAGCCACCATGCCCTGCCAAAAAACTGTATTTCTTAGGGTAGGAATAAAACAACGCTTTGACTCCCATTGCCTTCCTTATGGGGTTGGTGCTTTCAACCGGAGTAGAGGGTGGGGGTGCAGGGTGAGCTTTGGGGAAGAATGTCAACAGACCTCTTTATTTATGACCATTATTACTGTTGTTGAAGACATAATGAGATCAATAGAGATCACCAGAGAGAGCCTTAACAAACACCTCTGAGATAAGCCTTTGTTTTCAAACACAGCAGGCTTTTGTCAGTGCTTCCTAGAATCATTTGTCTTCCACTTTTATTATGTTTGCCATATCCAGGGAACACTTGCACTTTATTATATTTAATTGATTTTCAATTGACTCACTTTAAAAAAAAATAGAGATAGGGTCTCAACATGTGTCCAGGCTGTTCTTGAACTCCTGGGCTCAGGCAATCCTCCCCCTTTGGCTTCCCAAAGTGCTAGGATTATAGATGTGAGCCATTGCACCGGACTTGACTCACTTTTTATACTTAGCTAAACCCTAAACAATAATCTGGGAAATCACAGGTTTTTTATACTTCTAGAAAGAGCACAGAGCTATTAAAATACATTTTTTATGTACCTTTTAAAATCATCTTATGCAGCACCGATAGGTAGGCCATACTTTAGAAGACACTTCTTTGGATGAGCACCTATATCATGAAAAGACTATTACTGGCCATGCATGGTGGATCACGCCTATAATCCCAGCACTTTGGGAGGCCAAGGTGGGTGGATCACAAGGTTAGGAGTCTGAGACCAGCCTGACCAAAAATGGTGAAACCCTGTCTCTACTTAAAAAATGCAAAAATTAGCTCGGTGTGGTGGTATGTGCCTGTAATCCCAGCTACTTGGGAGGCTGAGGCAGGAGAATTGCTTGAACCCAGGAGGTGGAGGCTGCAGTGAGTGGAGATCATGCCACTGCACTCTAGCCTGGAAATAGAGTGAGACTCCATCTCAAAAAAAAAAAAAAAAAAGACTATTACTGACAGGGCATTAATGGTTATTTTTCTTTTCCTATACTACTTACCAAAATTTCTCTCAATTCCTAGTTGAAGAAACCCTTAATCAGGCCCTTCCTTTCTATGGTATCCAAAAATACTTTGATATGTACCATCTCACTTGATTCTCACACTTACCAATAAGGTAGGCTAGAAAACATTATGTCCCCTCAACTCAGGAGAGATTAAGGCTCAGAATTTACTTACCCAAAGACATGTAGCTAGTCAGTAATAGGGTAGGTCAACTTGTCACAGAGACTGGTCTTCTGTTCCAACTAGAGATAGTATGGCTTCCATTCTCTTCAAGATTGTGGTGGTTGATATGGTTTGGCTGTGTCTCCACACAAATCTCATCTTGAACTGTAGAACTGTAGTTCCCATAATCCCCATGTGCTGTGGGAGGGACCCAGTGGGAGATACCCTCATGCTATTCTCATGATAGTGAGTGAGTTCTCATGAGATCTGATGGTTTTATAATTTTTTTTTCTCCTTTTGCTTGGTAGTTCTCTTGCCTGCCACCATGTAAGATGTGCCTTTGCTTCTCCTTTGCCATGACCGTGAGGCCTCCCCAGCCATGTGGAACCATGCATCCAGTAAACCTCTTTCCTTCATAAGTTACCGAGTCTCTGGTATGTCTCTATTAGCAGCATGAGAACAGACTAATACAGTGGTTAAGAACATAAGCTTTAGAGTCAGACACCCCTGGTATTTATTTATTTGTTTTGGAGACAAGATCTTGCTCTGTCACCCAGGCTGGAGTGCAGTGGCACGATTGTGGCTCACTGTACCCTTGACCTCCTGGGCTCATGCAATCCTCGACCTCAGCCAAGACTATGGGCACATGCCGTAAGTGCCTAAGTCTCACTATGTTGCCCAGGCTGGTCTTTAACTCCTGAACTTAAGCAATCCTCCTGCCTTGGCCTCCCAAAGTGCTTGGATTACAGATGTGAACCACCGCACTGAGTGCTACACCTAGGTTTTAAACTGTATTCTACTGCTCGTGAGGTATATAAAATGGGGAAACTTTTAAAAATTCTATTGTTATCAGTTTCATTATATGTAAAGTGAGAATAATAATATCTGTTGCATAGAGTTGTTAATAGTGGTTGTTGAGAACTCCTACATCAGAGGGCTGTGAGATTATATAAAAGGAAGCACTTATCACAGTGCTCAGTCTAAAGGAAGTGTTAAATGGTGGTATTATTACTTTGATAAGAAATGTCGACTTTTTTTTTTTTTTTTTTTTGAGATGGAGTTTCGCTATTGTTACCCAGGCTGGAGTGCAATGGCACGATCTCGGCTCACCGCAACCTCCGCCTCCTGGGTTCAGGCAATTCTCCTGCCTCAGCCTCCTGAGTAGCTGGCATTACAGGCACGCACCACCATGCCCAGCTAATTTTTTGTATTTTTAGTAGAGACGGGGTTTCACCATGTTGACCAGGATGGTCTCGATCTCTTGACCTCGTGATCCACCCACCTCGGCCTCCCAAAGTGCTGGGATTACAGGCTTGAGCCACCATGCCCGGCAGAAATGTCGACTGTTGGCCATTTACTACTTAATGTCTTGAAATCATTGATGACATGATTGAATTTTAAAAATGGAGGTCCATCCTCTTACATATAAAAATATATCTGTGATAACAGGTATGTTCACTCAAACACTTACTATTTCCTCTCTAAATGCAAGAAAAGTTCTGCTCCTCTCTCTTGCCTCATTTCTGTGATTAACTGTTGTCACCCTCCAAATACCTTCACAGCAGCAAAGATAATTTTACATTTTCATAGGCTTAAAATGTGAAGGCATTAACTAAAGTACACTAACTCACTTGTCCTTCACAAATGCCCTGTGATGCAGTTATTATTCTCATTTCACAGATGAGGAAAAACCCTCAAAAAGTTGGATGACCTGCCAGGTCAAATAGCATGCAAATAGAAAAGTTGGGGTGGAAACACAGGCTTTATTCATTCTTTCCCACCACATGAGTCTTTGACAAAGCAGGAAATACATGGCCGAATTTTTCTTTGACTTATATCTCCCCTTCCTGGTACATCAGCTTCTGCAAAAGATTGCTCGGTGCACATATGAGTAGGGAAGAACCCCATTTTCCATGGACACCAATGCAGGAAGCAGTTGCTAGCTCTTCATCCTAGGCTACCAATGGGCAGCTGTGGTTTCATCCCTTTTATTTAAAACAGGGAAAACAGGCAGCTGTAATTTAGCATTTGCTAAAAAGGAAAACTGAGTCATTTGTTTTTTGCCAATTTCCATTCTAACCTCCCTCTGTGCTGAAAGATGGCAAATAGCTCCCAGACCTTTTGGTGATTCATCCACATATTGGCAGCTAGTCTGGGGTTCCAATTCAGTTCCAGGAGCACTAATTTCCTATTTCCTCCTTGTTTCAGAAATGATCACAATAGACTTTAATTACCACTGTGAGCATCAAAGAAAGGATAAGATTGGGTTGGTTTTGCAAACTGCTGGGCTCTTTCAACCCTGAAGATGGGCCCTTTGGACTGGAGCCTGGAGGTTAAATGCATCACCCAGCCATCTTTATAAAAGGTGAAATAACCACCTTCACAGGGATCTGGGGCACAGATTTCACTCACACTTCTGAGAAAAAGTAAGAAAAAGAAAAAATCGAGAGGAAGGAGTTTTCTAATACTAGAAAACTTAAAGGCAGACAGAAGGGCAAGCCACTAGCCTTGGGTCCTCTTCACTGGCTCCTTACCTTGGAGCAGGGAAGCTCACAGGTGCAGGGGCGCTGGAAGCGGTGGTCTGCCTTCTGCTTCCTTCTTCTTGCCCTGCAGAGGCTCTTAGCCTGGATTGCCATTTTAGTTGAGCACTTTCACAGCATTGTTTACCAGCTGCTCCCCACTGTAGAGAACGTTGTCAGATTATTTAATATTAATCTCTCTTGATTAGATTGCAAATTACATTTGAAGTTGTTTTAGTGAAGTCTGTATCCTATTTTCATTCAGATTAAAGGGCAAGACTTGTGAGAACATTCCCAACAGCTTTGGTAAAACAGTTTAATTAATTGGATTTGAAAACATTGGCTACAAGACTGAATTTCAGCCAGCAATAAATGTCTCCAAGGGGCATATAAGGTTCTTTGGTGTACAAGCACATTTGTTAAAAAAAAAAAAAAACTCCTTTAAATAAAATAGTCTAAGACATGCCTAGTGCAAGCTAACTCCCATGATGGCCTAGGTTGTTAAGCCCTTGCATCAGTTTCCTTCAGCTACTGAAGGAAGAAAAAACAAAGTGCACCCCACAGCAATCTTTCTGCAGTTGTCACACCTCCTGCCTCAAGCTGGAATGGCCATTAAACATACAGATTCCCAGGCTCTATGGCTAAGTTACTCAATGGGAACCTCTGGGAGCGAGGCCCAGGAATCTGAATGTTTAACAAGATTTCCAGGTGGCTCTGGTGCACCTCTCATTTGAGAAGCACTCCAGAGGAGATCAGAAAGACCAGTTTTCCACTGTAAGTGCTGGGGTTTGCCTTCAGGCTCTCCTGTCAAAGTCCAGTTAATTCTCACAGCTTTAGGATCACTACAAACTAATCACTGCTGGAGGAAAATTGGAATTGGTTTACACTAAGAAAATATAACACTGATTTCCATTACATCACCAAACATAACACACCAAAACCAAACACGCAAATCTGGGGAAATTTTCACTTGCTGAATCATATAACAGCTCTGAAATCTTCTATGTGACACTCTGACTGCACAGTTATTCTTCTTTTCTAGGGTGAGGGGAGTTTTTTGAGATGGAGTTTTGCTCTTGCTGCCCATGCTGGAATGCAATGACGCAATCTTGGCTCACTGCAACCTCTGCTTCCCGGATTTAAGCAATTCTCCTGCTTCAGCCTCTCGAATAGCTGACTGCAGACATGCACCACTACATCTGGCTAATTTTAATTTTTTTATTTTTAGTGGAGATGGGTTTTCTCCATGTTGGTCAGGCTGGTCTTGAACTCCCGACCTCAGGTGACCCACCCACCTCAGCCTCCCAAAGTGCTGGGATTACAGGCATGAGCCACCATGCCCAGCCTATTTATCCATTTTTAACTCAAGGAAAAAGACTTCATAAATACAAACAATGTTTGATAACAACAAAGACATTATTCTTTCTGCAATATTAGGTTGTTAGTAACAGAATCTCTTTACAAAATATATATATATATATTTTTTAATTACAAAATAGGTTGGACCTGTCCGGATTAAGTCAATAATGTGGTGGGCTCAAATGACACAACTCAAGCAAGTGCAGCTGTGGCTTTGCCAGCATGTTATTTACTCAGCATCTTTGGACTTACCTCATGCAATGACTGCCAAGGCTGCTCCAGTGAAGGAAGACATCTCATAAAACTTAATCTCAAACCAGTTTACCAATTATGTAAACAGTTTTTGAGGGTTGTCTATGTGCCAGGCAATTATGCTGGGTACTTATAAGAATTAAGCATGATACTAAAAGAGTGCCTCTCGGCCAGGCTAGGTGGTCCAGACCTGTAATCCCAGCACTTTGGGAGGCCGAAGCAGACAGATCAGGAGTTCAAGACCAGCCTGGCCAACATGATGAAACCCCATCTCTACTAAAAATACAAAAATTAGCTGGGCGTGGTTGCAGACGCCTGTAGCCCCAGCTACTCGGGAGGCTGAGGCAGGAGAAACGTTTGAACCCAGGCGGCGGAGTTTGCAGTGAGCCGATATTGCGCCATTGCACTCCAGCCTGGGCGACAGGGTGAAACCCCATCTCAAAAACAAAAAAGAGTGCCTCTCAACTTTTATCTGTGTGTCAGAACTACCTGTGAAACTTTTTGAGGATACTGAAGAGTGGGCCTTACCATATACCCACTGAATTGGAACCTTCAGGAGAAGCATCCAGGCAACTCAATTTATAAAATCTCTTCAGGTGATCTTAATGCAGAACCAAGATGAGAAACCACTTTGTTAAATCCTACAAAGAGCCTTCCCTTCTGAGAATTTTCAGTCTATGGGAGATATACTGATGTAAATCCATTTGCAGTAAGACATGTAGTCAGAACACATTTAAAAGAAAACACATTAGTGATAGATAACATCAAATATGAAATAGAAACAAATGTATAGACAGAAGGATAAATACAAACTTCACAGAGGTTAGGGAAAGCAAGGAGACATTTCTGGGCAGATTCTATTGTATCTGGTTGGTAGGAGAAGTAACAGATTCTGCTATTCATTTTTTTGTAATACTAAATTAAAGGCTCAGCAAAAGATTCCAGTTTAAAAGGCAATTCTTTACGTTTTCAAAATTCTGATGTAGTTGGAACTCTATACAAATTTGCAAAGCAATTATGTAGAATATATATACTTTCTATTAAAAATATACAACTTTTAAAATTTAGGTTAGAGCTACAAATGACTAAGTCCTACATAACACTGCATATGTTGTCCAGGAAAAATAAACGACTAAACTAATATGCTGTGAACACACATATGAACATGCATCACATCCATGTTTAAATGAATTCCAGACAGTCATATATCAAGTGGAAAGAAATCAAAGGTTTGCAGTCCGGCTAATGAGAGGTTCTCCGAAGGGCATTCTGTGGAATGCATTTCTCTTGGCAAGTTGCTGTGGTGGACTCAATTCAATTCTAAGCAGATTTCTTTAATCCTTACTTCTAAGTGGGTCAGCACCATCTGATTTTAAGTATTATTGCAAGAGACATATGCACAATGATTACTGCAACCACCCTTCCCTGGAAAGTTGCTTTTCCTTTGATAATGCTTGGAAGACCCAATTCACACAAGTAGAAAAGTCTCAGGTAGGACCAGCACTGTTGCAAGGGAGGGGACAAATCGAGTACCGCTGGTGGCTTTCAGATGATAAACGTGCCAAAAATTCCATTGAGTTTTTTTTTTAAATAGGCTGCTTAGGAAAAATGCTTAATTAGTTTACGATATTCTGTATATTAGTTTAGGAAGATTCTTTTGGGTAATCTGAGGACATGGTCTTGAAGAGAATATTCAGAGTTGGGAGGATAAACATATCATTTGAAAATCAGAAAGTCTAAAGCAGTTAATTGTGTGGTTACGCCTCAACAGAGACCATTATCAAGAGGAGGGCCAGGGAGACTGTTTCAAGATGGCTGCTGGGTGCTACTCGTCAACTTGCGACCCTATGTGTACACCAGCATTTTCCTAAGTTCTCTAATTGTTTGTAGTTGGCCAGTGATTCTCTTTGGGTTTTTATGTTATTCCTTTCCAAGTTTTTTGTCTCTACATTCTTTCTCTTGTTTAATTGTATTCGCTGACGTTTCATATACTGTGTTAAATCATGAATTGTAGGAGCAGTGGGCATTCTTGTCACATTTCTTTCTATCAGGATGCTGCCAGTGTTGTTTGCCCATTAAGGATGCTGCAGACTTTTTAGGCTGTGATGTATTCCATGTTCAGATAAAATTACATTTATAGATTTTATATTACAGGACCATCCATGCATTTCTGAAATAAACTGCAGAGTTTACAAATATAAGTGGCATGAGGCCAGCAAGGCCTAAGGAAGCCAAAGTACCAATTTCTCAAGTAAATAAACTAAAAAAGGGAGGATCTTATTTCATTTGCTTTTGAGATTTCTAGACTGAAAATTTACCACAGGAAACATGCTGTATGCATCCCTGTATCGATAAATACTTACTGCCCAAATGTGCCCCGTATAAAACATTTTCCAATGCCCTTAGGTCTTTATTTACATGGGTCTTCAAGTCATAAAGCCAGATTACCTGGAAGAGATCTGCAAGCCCTCAGACACTGTCTCTCACAGACGTCCCCAGCACCCCCAGCAGGAAGACTTCTGGCAGTCAGCAGACCCCTAGAGCTCCATGTCATTGCCCATTTCCATCAGTCTCCTCTCTCTCTGCCCATTTGCAGTAAGTCACCTTCCCAATTAGTGATTTCCACAGTAAGACATCAGCATCTTTTCTTGTTTATTGGGCTTCAGAACCTGGGAAATGTCTACAGGCTGAGGATTATGCAGAGGAGGAAAAGCTAGAGAAACTCAAAGGCAGGATTCGTGACTCACCTGAGTATGCAGGTTGGCAGTGTTGGGGAGTAGAAAAGGGGAGCTCGGCAGGAAGGAAGGAATGGCAGCAAGGATTGAGGCTCCCACTGAGCTCTGCCAGTAAGGGGAAGCAGAGACATCAGTTTACCAGCTAATTCCATAATATTCTCTGGCTCGATGGTCTTATGTTAAAAGACATGTGAAGGGATTTTTTTTTTAATTGTAAATCAACAACATCTATAATTATAATGTCTAACTGTATATATTTATGGGTGCAAAGTGATGCTATAATTTATGAATACAATGTGGAATAAAGAAAGCTAATTAACATATCCATTACCTCATGTGAAGGTATTTTAAAGTACATAAATACTAGCACCAATTATTTCATAGTAAGATAGTGATGAAGAGCCTTGACTTTGTAATTGGACAACTCTATGTGTGAGTCCTGGCTCCGTCAATTACTGGTTGTGTCATCTTGGACAAGGGTCTTAATGAAGGCTTAGTTTTCTCTTTTGTAAAGCAGGTATAATGCTCCAACCTGTTTCTTAAGCTTGTACAATGAAATGAGAGAATGTAGGTAGAGTGCACGGTACCACAGAAGCTCAGTAAATGCTAGCCACCATGATTTTTCTCTTTAGGGTTCTACAGCTAATAGGATTCTTTCTATATTTCATATTGTGAGGACTGAAAACAAGACCTAAGGGCAAAGAGGGCAGCTATTCATATCCCTCTAGTTCTTTTTTTTTTTTTTGGAGACGGAGTCTTGCTCTGTCACCCAGTCTGGAGTGCAGTGGCGTGATCTCAGCTCACTGCAACCTCCGCCTCCTAGGTTCAAGCAATTCTCCTTCCTCAACCTCCCGAGTAGCTGGGATTATAGGCACCCACCATGGCACCCAGCTAATGTTTGTATTTTTAGTAGAGATGACGTTTCACCATCTTGGTCAGGCTGGTCTTGAACTCCTCACCTTGTGGTCCATCAGTCTTGGCCTCCCAAAGTTCTGGGATTACAGGCATGAGCCACACACCCAGTCAACCCTCTAGTTTTTAATGCCATTTAGAACTCTGATACAACTTCCCATAACATGTATTTCATCTCACAGCCAAGGGAAGTATGGCTCAGAGTGTGGAGAACCAAGCATATGGCTCACAGACTCAAATAAATTCTAGAGGCTATGATTTCAGAGGAGCCATGAGTCCCTGAAATAGATTGCAAACATTATATATATGTACAGAACGATAGCTATGACATGGTCATACAAAGCAACATTTAGAATACTAGCGAATATATTATACATATGCATACACTAATGTGGATAGTTAGGCTATTTTGGCCCATCTTATATTCTATTTTAGACACATTAGTGAAAACCCAGCTGTGGGAATTCCTGTACGTAAAATAGACACTTATTGAAATAGTAAATGAAATATTTATCTCACAGTATGACTCATTCATCAAATCCAAGGATCAGCAAACTCTTTCTTTTTTTTTTTTTTTTTGATACAGAGTTTCACTCTTGTTGCCCAGTTTTTAGTTTTATTTACAACTTTATAAAAACAGGTGGCAGGCCTGATTTGGCCCATGGGCCATAGTTGGCTGACCTCTGCTCTAAACCACATATCATACTCCAAATAACATGACTTACTGAACTATTCAGAAGCAAGCTAAAGTAAATCTGGTCTCTGTACTATTTTAACTATTTGTGCATTCTCCACAAATGAAGATACTTTATGCATACTTATGTGTGTTATATGTAATTAATATGTCATAAATATTTGACAATTTTTAAATGTTTTATATAACTATGAAAAAGCTTACAACTATTGTATTTATTTTTGTGTCCATATTTTCAATTGTCAACAGTTTTATATGGTGTGCTTTTTATAAAAAAATACAGTTAAGCTGGTCTTTAAATTGTGAGGTCCTAAGAAGTCCTATTATTTGGAATATGGTTTAATAGTTTTAAAACAACAATAGTTCATCTCTCTTCTGATGTTTCTCTGTTTTGTTGTACATACACTTTAATTTTTGAATCTTCAATTCAGTTCTGAATTTCTTTCACTGTTACATAAAATACTCAAGTTGTCAGCACGGAATTTGACTGGAAATTTATAATCTACATATGTCAAATTTATAATCTACATATTCTGAGATTTTAACTAAACCACATGATTCAGAAAGTGCCTTCAATACATCTTCTTCTTTGTGCAATCCAGTTGATGATCACTAGTAAAAACTGGTAAAAATGAAAATTCTGATATAAAAATAAATAAATATAGATGTTAGGCTTTGGCTACTACAGAAAATAGTAAAAATGAACCTGTTAATTGTCATTTGGAAAATAAAAGCTTATATTTAACAGAGGATGACAAATGTTAAAAAAAAAACTGTCAACTCTTTTTACCACCCTATAATTTATATTGGAGAGATTTGTTTTTAACCATGGTAGTCAGAAACACTGTTTCTGTACTTACGCACTTGGTTCCACTAGGAAGTGAAGCTGTTTCTTGCTGATTCCGTCAAGCAGCTTGACAACTGTACTTTATGGAAGATAGATTCAAATAGACCAGTTTATGGGAGCAGAAAATCAATAGAACTTTAAAAATTTTTAATTAATATTTAGTATTTATAAATTCCAAAACACAAAATTAATGATGTGCATGTGGCTCAGGAGGAGCTGTCAATGAAGAGTCAAACTCTGCAAAATATTTGAAGAGATTTATTCTGAGCCAAATTTGAGTGACCATTGTGGCTGACAGCCCTCAGGAGGTCCTTGGAACATGTGCTTAAGGTAGTTGGGGCGCAGCTTGGTTTTATACATTTTAGGGATGCATAAGACATCAATCAAATACATTTAAGAGATACATTGGTTTGGTCTAGAAAGGTGGGACAACTTAAAGTAGGGGGCTTCCAGGCTGCAGGTGACTTTAAACATTTCCGATTGACAATCGGTTGAGTTTATCTAAAGACCTGGGATCACAGAAGGGAAATGTTGAGGTTAAGAGACTGTAGGATTCATCCTGGGGATGCAAGGCTGGTTCAACATACGCAAGTCTATAAACGTAATTCACCACATAAACAGAACCAAAAACAAAAACCACATGATTATCTCAATTGAAGCAGAGAAGGCCTTTGACAAAATTCAACAGCCCTTTATGCTAAAAACCCTCAATAAACTCGGTATTGATGGAACGTATCTCAAAGTAATAAAAGCTATTTACGACAAATAGCCAATATCATACTGAATGGGCAAAAACTGGAAGCATTCCCTTTGAAATCTGGCACTAGACAAGGATGCCCTCTCTCACCACTCCTATTCAATATAGTACTGGAAGTTCTAGCCAGAGCAATCAGGCAAGAAAAAGAAATAAAGGGTATTCAAATAGAAAAGGAGGAAGCCAAATTGTCTCTATTTGCAGACGACATGATAGTATACCTAGAAGACCCCATCGCCTCAGCCCAAAAACTCCTGAAACTGATAAGCAACTTCAGCAAAGTCTCGGGATATAAAATCAATGTGCAAAATCACAAGCATTCCTATACACCAATAACAGACTTAAAGAAAGCCAAATCAAGAACGAACTGCCATTCACAATTGCTACAAAGAGAATAAAATACCTAGGAATACAACTTATAAGGAACGTAAGGGACCTCTTCAAGGAAAACTACAAACCACTGCTCAACGAAATCAGAGAGGACACAAACAGATGGAGAAACATTCCATGTTCATGGTTAGGAAGAATCAATATCGTGAAAATGGCTAAACTGCCCAAAGTAATTTACAGAATCAATGCTATCCCCATCAAGCTACCATTGACTTCCTTCACAGAACTGGAAAAAACCACCTTGAACTTCACATGGAACCAAGAGAGAGCCTGCATAGCCAAGTCAATTCTAAGCAAAAAGAACAAGCAGGAAGCATCACACTACTGGACTTCAAACTATACTACAAGGCTACAGTAATCAAAACAGCATGGTACTGGTACCAAAACAGAGATATAGACCAATGGAACAGAACAGAGGCATCGGAGGCAACACAACATATCTACAACCATACAATCTTTGATAAACCTGACAAAAACAAGCAATGGGGAAAGGATTCCCTGTTTAATAAATGGTGTTGGGAAAACTGGCTAGCCATGTGCAGAAAGCAGAAACTGGACCCCTTCCTGACACCTTACACTAAAATTAACTCCAGATGGATTAAAGACTTAAACATAAGACCTGGCACCATAAAAACCCTAGAAGAAAATCTAGGCAAAACCATCCAGGACATAGGAGTAGGCAAGGACTTCATGAACAAAACACCAAAAGCATTGGCAACAAAAGCCAAAATAGACAAATGGGACCTAATCAAACTCCACAGCTTCTGCAAGGCAAAAGAAACAGTCACTAGAGTGAATCGGAGACCAACAAAATGGGAAAAAATTTTTGCAGTTTACCCATCTGACAAAGGGCTGATATCCAGAATTTACAAAGAACTCAAACAGTTTTACAGGAGAAAACCAAACAAGCCCATTCAAAAATGGGCAAAGGATATGAACAGACACTTTACAAAAGAAGACATACATGAGACCAACAAACATATGAAAAAATGCTCATCATCACTGGTCATTAGAGAGATGCAAATCAAAACCACATTGAGATACCATCTCATGCCAGTTAGAATGGCAATCATTAAAAAATCTGGAGACAACAGATGCTGGAGAGAATGTGGAGAAATAGGAACACTTTTACACTGCTGGTGGGAGTGTAAATTAGTTCAACCATTGTGGAAGACAGTGTGGTGATTCCTCAAGGACTTAGAAATAGAAATTCCATTTGACTCAGCAATCTCATTACTGGGTATATATTCAAGGGACTATAAATTGTTCTATTATAAGGACACATGCACACGAATGTTCATTGCAGCACAGTTTAGAATAGCAAAGACCTGGAACCAACCCAAATGCCCATCGATGATAGACTGGACTGGGAAAATGTGGCACATATACACCATGGAATATTATGCAGCTATCAAAAATGATGAGTTTGTTTCCTTTGTAGGGACATGGATGAATCGGGAGAACATCATTCTCAGCAAACTGACATAAGAACAGAAAATGAAATACCGCATATTCTCACTCATAGGCCAGTGACGAACAATGAGAACACATGGACACAGGGAAGGGAGTACTACACACATGGGTCTATTGGGGGGAATAGGGGAGGGACAGCGGGGTGGGGGAGCTGGGGAGGGATAGCATGGGGAGAAATGCCAAATGTGGGTGAAGGGGAGGAAGGCAGCAAAACACACTGCCATGTGTGTACCTATGCAACTATCTTGCATGTTCTGCACATGTACCCCAAAACCTAAAATGCAATTAAAAAAAAAGATTGTGGAGACCAACATTCTTTTGAAGTCTTATAGTGGCTGCCTTAGAGACAATAGATGACAAACGTTTCCTATTCAGATCTTTAGGAGGTGCTAGACTTTCAGTTAGTCTTTTTAGGACTGGAAGGGCCTAGAAGAAAAAGATCTAGTTATGTTAATAGAGATTCTTTACAGATGCAAATTTTCCCCCCACAAAAGACAGCTTTGCAGGACCATTTCAAGATATGGCAAATAAACATGTTTAGGGGCAAAATATTTTGATTTTCTACCTTGTCTCATAATGTTATGCCAGAGTCAGGTTGGAAAGTAATATATATCATGATATACAGAGTTAAATAAAACCCATCTAATGAGAATTTGTGCTTTGTAGGGTATGACTCCCCAGACCCCTTAGATAGGAATTCGGGCAAGATAAAAAAATCAGAGCTCAGTCCTCAGAGCTCAGGAGGCTTACAAAATGCCATTACATGTTTGGACTGTAATGTTCTCAGTACTCTGAAAACAGTTCAAGAATTTGGAGCTGAGCAAGGTCTAAATTTTTACTGAAAAATTTTTTTTTTTTGCCATGGAGTTTCACTCTTGTTGCCCAGGGTGGAGTGCAATGGTGCAATCTTGGCTCACTGCAACCTCTGCCTCCCAAGTTCAAGCAATTCTCCTGCCTCAGCTGGGATTATAGGCATGTGCCACCACACCTGGCTAATTTTGTATTTTTAGTAGAGATAGGGTTTCTCCATGTTGGTCTGGCTGGTCTCGAACTCCCGACCTCAGGTGATTTGCCCACATCAGCCTCCCAAATTGTTGGGATTACAGGCATGAGCCACTGTGCCCAGCCTGAATTTTTTTTGAGACACCTTGATCCAAGGCTAAAAACCTTGTGTCTTCTGAAAAAAAGAATGAATGTCAATTAATTTTTTACAAACCAAACTTGAAGGATATTTAATTAATAACCAGTGTGACTGAGTTCATAGATGCATAATCTTGTAAATCAATAAACAGCTCACTAAAATTTGCTGAGTGAGAGATAGAAGCAAAGTGCTTAGAACAGTATCTGACTTAATGATTTCTCAATACAGGCCGCTATGTTATTAAAATCAGCATTTCTTGCAGTGTACATTAGGTCATGGGATAACAGAAAAATCACAGCCTGAGAAGCCAAACTGGCCTACGTTGACATCCTGACCAATCCAAATGACTTAACCTTCCTTGGCTAGTTTCACCATGGGCAACATGGAAATATTCTGGATTCTTTGGAATAACACTTGCAAAACTTGTCTTAATTTTCATTTTCTCTATTTCTGCCGTTACTCTCATTAGGAGTTCTTGTAAGAAGCGGTTTACATACAGGCAAACTTACAGGTCTAGCCTTTACCTTTGACTTTTGAGTACAGAACTCAAGGTGGCTAGCTTCACAGTTGGGTTTCAGAGGAAGTGGATTAGGAATTTTTCCCAGACATTTGACATTTTGGGGAAGAATAATGTTTTGAGCTCTTGGTCTTCGAATAGGCATATAATGTCGAAAGCAAGCAAGCAAGCAAGCAAGAGAGACAGAAGGAGAGAAAGAAAGGGTTTGTCAATTTATGTACCCAAACCAAATTTGTATGACAAAGAAAGCCTGACTGACTGGACAGATAAAATCACTTTCAAATGATAGGTTGTATAATTTTTTAAACAAATTATTCTCAGTCTAAAAGATACATAGAAAGTAGTGAATGCTTCTTTCTGCTTAGCAGAAAGAAAACCTACAGATCACTAAAGTTATATGAAAGGTACACTTTGAGGACCTTTTGTAGTTCATAAGCATGATGATTGGGTTTCACGCTCATGTGTAAAATGTGCCTCCCTCAAACCTTGTTACAACATCAGCACATTACCCATGTGACATGAGGAAAAAGGTACACTTCGAGTAATGTACAGGCGCAATGGCTCAAGCCTGTAATCCCAGCACTTTGGGAGGCCGAGGTGGGTGGATCACGAGGTCAAGAGATCGAGACCATCCTGGCCAACATGGTGAAACCCCATCTCTACTAAAAATACAAAAAATTAGCTGGGCATGGTGGTGCGTGCCTGTAATCCCAGCTACTCAGGAGGCTGAGGCAGGAGAATTGCCTGAACCCAGGAGGCGGAGGTTGCGGTGAGCCGAGATGGCGTCATTGCACTCCAGCCCGGGTAACAAGAGCGAAACTCTGTCTCAAAAAAAAAAAAAAAAAAAAAAGAAAACTTGCTTCCTTGAAGATCTGTTTACAAAAACGTGAGCATTTTCATAGGATAAATTCAAAGAAGTGAAGTAGCTGGGTCAAAGGACTATCAAGATTTTAGTAGGCAAACACTGGAAAATTAACCTCAGAAAAGTGACACTAACCACATTTATGTTACACACCAACCACATGTATGTGTGCTCTGAATCCTAAGGATTTTGCCAACTCAATTTGCTTTTGAGTTACACTCAACCCACAGTGAGAGCATATCACATTAGATGACTTAGATGCTCTCCATATCTGATCAGCTAATAAAGTATAACATCCATTCTGTGAAATGAAGGCTGAATGCTTTTATTTAAGTTAAAAATGCCATTTTCCCCCATCTACTGCCAGATTTTCTTTAGTCTGTAGTCTGAACCTATGGTCCATGTTTTCTTACTCAGAACTCTTGGTTCTTTATGCTTTTTTGCTGTGTCTATCCTAAAAAATTTCCAATTCCAGGAATGTTCCAGCCCTCCACTCTCCTACCTTCCTGTTCGCTGCTAACAAACATCCAACAACTCTGTGGCTTGACACTGTCCTGACTTTGAGCTGCAGCCGGCCTTGAGCACCAGGGCCCATCAGAGTCACTTTTCGGTCATTGCCTTGCCTAACCTTCTTCCACACCTGGGACTGCTGGCCCCTCTTCCCTAGGCTCCAAGGCTTTTTTGATTTGCTTACCCAGGACCTCCATATATTTGTAGACCATTCTTCTTTTTTTTTTTTTTTTTTTTTTTTTGAGACAGAGTTTCCCTCTTGTTACCCAGGCTGGAGTGCAATGGCACCATCTCGGCTCACCGCAACCCCTGCCTCCTGGGTTCAGGCAATTCTCCTGCCTCAGCCTCCCGAGTAGCTGGGATTACAGGCACTTGCCACTATGCCCAGCTAATTTTTTGGTTTTTTTTAGTAGAGACGGGGTTTCACCAGGTTGACCAGGATGGTCTCAATCTCTTTACCTTGTGATCCACCCTCCTCGGCCTCCCAAAGTGCTGGGATTACAGGCTTGAGCCACCACGCCCGGCCTATCTGTAGACCAGTCTAAGGGACTCGGTTCCTTGCAGTTGGACTAAAAGCACCAACATATATTCTTAAATTTTTGAGGAAAAACTTAGAGCATAATGGAGAAGAGCACAGACTCTAAAGCCCAGTTGCCTGGGTCCCGGCTCAGATCTGCCTGCCACTTAAGCACTGGGCTAGGCAGTCCCTCTGTCCCATGTGCCTTCATCTGTGAAAAAAGACTCCTACATGTATCTGTGTGGTCTAAATGATCTACTAAGAAAAGTGCTTAGAATTATTTAGTATATAGTAAACACTAGAAAATGACATTTATTATTATGATTCCTAATCAGAAGCCCTAGATCATAGGACAGCAAAATAAGTACAGATATAGAAATCAGACTGGGTGCACATCCTGACTGAACAATTGGGCATGATTTGGGCATATTATTTGGGCAACTAAGTTTAGCTTGTTGGACTCTGTGTCCAACCCAATGGTAATATCACATTTATGTTTCTAGCAGGACAGGAGACTGGAAACCCAGAACAACAGCCCAGTGATCCTGGCAGGGAGTTGAGACCACAGGATGTAAGCTATGTCAGCAAAGGGTATTTGTGTATCAAAGCATGTCTGAAAGCAGCCCGGCTGGGAAGGTGTATTTACTTCCTTTCCCCAAAACTATTTTTCTTCACAGTATGCTTAAAGGTGATTGCCCTGGTCTGAATGCATCTCTCCAAAATTCATACGTGGAAAGTTCCTTGCCAATGTGATAGTATTAAGAGGTGGGGCCTTTAGGAGGTGAATAGGTCATGAGGGTATTATCATCCCCACAAATGAGATTAATGCCCTTGTAGAAGAGGCTTCACACAGCCATCAGCCCCTTTTGTCCTTCTGCCTTTCACCGTGTGAAGACATAGCATTCACCCTTCTGCCATGTGAGGACACAACAGTAAGGTGCCATCTTGGAAGCAGAGAACATGCCCTTGCCAAACACCAAATCTGCTGGTGCCTTGATCTTGGACTTCTCAGCCTCCAGAACTGTGACACATAAATTTCTATTGTCTGTAAGTTATCTAGGCTGTGGTATTTTGTTATAGCAGCAAGAACAGACTAAGACAGTGGTCACCTAGTTTCTGCTTTGAGTGTGTTCCTAATGACTGACAGATCACAAGGTCACATGTTCCATTTTGAACTATCTAACTGCAAAATGGTCCTTTATATAAAGCAGAAACGTGCCTCTCTATTAATCTTAGCTTTTGATCATATCTTTCCGCAAAGGAGCAAACAAATAATCTAATTTTAATCCCTATTTGGTTGCATAATTTGAGGACAGCTGTCACGTCCCCAATTTTCCTCTTTTCAGAAGAGGCATCTCCAGCCTTCACCCAGTCATCATGTGACTTGGTCTACAGATTTTGGTCCTTCCCTACCTTGTCCAACCCTAGCCTCACCTTTCCCAATTCCACATTCACAATATGTCACTAAAATGTTGTTAATTATAGTTCTTCTACATTTCTTGAAGAAGTTCTTAGCGCTCCATCATCACTGCCAACTGATATATGTTTATATTCTTCTTAAATTATACTTTTAATTGTTACACATTATACTTCAAAACTAATCTGACCAATGACGACTTCAATGTAATTCCAAGAGAGCCTGGTAACATTGGGGAAGCTCTGAACAGTACTGGACACATTATTTTATGAGGAGGCTTATCTGATAAAAGCTTAGCCCAATAAGTTCATGAGCTTTAAAAAAAATCCTTCTTCAGCATCAAACTTAGAAGAAAGTGGTGAGGAAAGAAAAGACCTATTCAATGAATAACCAAAAGAATGTGTAACTTAACACAACCCACTAAACTCACTCATGCTAGAAAAATATTTGTCTTTATCACATGAAGTCTTACAGGATCCCAAAATAATTTAGGGCTTTCTCTAGATTAGGCATTAATTTCTGGAGCTAGCTAGAAGCACTTCTTACAAAGCTAATCACAAGTATTCTGTTAAATATTTAGGTTCACATCTCCAGGGTCTCCCTTGAATGGTGCTAGTTTTGCAGGAGGCAACAAAGTTTGACAATCAATCTGCAAACCTCATTGCTGGGTGGACGATTTTGTCTAACTTTAGATCCAAGGCATTTATTTAAATAAATAAATTTCTATAATATGTAGCATGCATAGTTTAAAAAAAAAAAAACTTGGATTTTTAGAGATGAGTTAAATCCGATGGTGTCTTTCCCAAGGGCTGAGATCCTAGGAGTAAGGGATGTAGCCAGGAAGAATAGGACTGGAATAATCTGTGGTATAAAGTGAAAAAGAAAGAATGTCAAAGTAAAAAGTAACTTAAAACAAAGAGACATAGTTCAGGTACTACCTCCTCCTTTTAGCTGTATGGCAAGTCTTTGAAGCCACTAAGACAGAGTTCAAAAACCTACTCTGCCTCTCTGAGGATCAGGAGACAGACTATATCAAAATGCCTCAAAACACATTTGCAAAATACTTAGCAAGAATAAATAAGCCTGGGTTGAATGTATATATCAACTTGGGAGAGAACTGCCATCTTTGTAATACTGCACCTTTCAATCTACAAAAATGATATATTCTTCCATTTATTTAGTTATTTAATTTATGCCAAAAATATTCAGGTGTACATTTCTACACATCTCTCCATCGATTTCCTAGGTATTTGATGTTATAATGTTATTTTAAATGATATTTCATAAATTCTATTTCCTATTTGATTGGTGTTAATATATAAGCGACTTTTGAATACTGAATTTTAAGCAGTTTTTTTCTTAAATTTGCCTACCAATTCCAATTCCAATAGGTTATAAATGCTTTTAAATTTTTTACATAATAATTATATCATTTGCAAACAATGACTATTTTATTTCCTCCTTTCCAATCTAAACTTGATGATTGTGGATTTGTCCATTTTTCCTTTTAGCTGCTAGTTTAGGGAAGTCATATCTACAGTTTTTTTAAGAGTTTTTTTTTTTTTTTTTTTTTGAGACGGAGTTTCCCTGTTGTTACCCAGGCTGGAGTGCAATGGCGCAATCTCGGCTCACCGCAACCTCTGCCTCCTGGGTTCAGGCAATTCTCCTGCCTCAGCCTCCCGAGTAGCTGGGATTACAGGCACTCGCCACTATGCCCAGCTAATTTTTTGTTTTTTTTTTTAGTAGAGACGGGGTTTCACCATGTTGACCAGGATGGTCTCGATCTATTTACCTCGTGATCCACCCACCTCGGCCTCCCAAAGTGCTGGGATTACAGGCTTGAGCCACCATGCCCGGCCTGTAAGAGTATTTTTAAAAATCATACATAGCTGTTGGATTTTATAAAATTTTTTTTTATTTATTGAGGTAGCTATATTTTTCTCCCATTAAGAAAATTAATGTGGCAAATTACATTGACTGATTTTTCAAATGTTAAACCACTTTTGCTCACACAAGAAGTAACCTCACTTGGTAGTAATATACAATTTTTTTTTTTCAGATGGAGTTTCACTTTTCTGCCCAGGCTGGAGTGCAATGGGGTGATCTCAGCTCATTGCAACCTCCGCCTCCCGGGTTCAAGCGATTCTCCTGCCTCAGCCTCCCAGGTAGCTAGGACTACAGGCACGTGCTACCATGTCTGGCTAATTTTTGTA